TTTAGCCGGGCCGGCTCAGATGATTGGTCGTGCTTTTTACAGCGCCACGGCTTCCACTGATGATATTTTTTTATATGTTTATTGTCAAAGCATTTAAGATATTAATTGCTATCGGGATGTTAAGAGCATTCCATGGAATATAACAAAAAGTGTTTCTGAAATAAATTACATACCCCACCTTTAAGGTTATTAAAAAATATTTTTTCATTTGTTTTTTTCGATCAATTTTGGCCACAAAAGTCCATTATATTAAAAAATGTTATTCTATTTATTTAATATTCTGGTCATACTTTCATACATTTTAATTTGGTAAATGATTTAAAAATGTTTAACACATTCAAGGCTTTTATTTGAATTATTAATGAATGACATTTAAATATTATTAAAAGCTTTAATATCTTTAAATATTGACTCTTGGGAAATTACACAATGAACTTAAATCGAAAATAAATACGAATTATGGGGAAAAATATCCATATTTCATATTCAAACATACCTTTTTAATTACATATTTAAAAAAAGGAACCACACACTGAATAATACCCTGAATCAGTGAAATAAACTCTTTGGCCCCCCCAGCTCGTACCTGTACCGGCCCCGAGGGGTTGGGGCCCCTGGAGCTCTCCAGATTGACCTCCACCTTCTTTCGGGGCTTGGGAGCCTGAGAGCTCACGCTTTCCAAGGACGTGCATCTATTTTAGGTTTAGCGATTCCCCGGGTGTCGAGCAATCATTGGTGCACAGTCAAATGGAGACAGAGACGGACAGATGGGACACGAGACAAAAATAAATAATGAGAGATGAGACACGACAACAGAGAGGAGACTGGAGGTGCACTGATGGGCTTCAATTAACACTACATTTTAATTCATAAAAACACACTTTTTGTGTCTCTATTTTCTGGTGTTTTACAAAACAAACCCAATTAAACGTCAGGGCTAGAATGATATACGTCGGATTAATTGATAATGTTGTATTACATCAAATTCATTAAATGTATTTTTAATTGAAGCTGTATTCATCAGGCATGCTTTGTGATGAAAAATGTGCTTATTATTTGCGTAAATTGTCATTTGAATCTATTGTACAGTGTTTTCTACATGGGATTTAACTCATTAATCAATATATAGATGGCCCAAGACAAAAATAACTGATATTATTTCTTTATATTATGGTGTTACACAAATTAAACAGAACCGAGGTTTAATGTTGGTCAAATATATCAAATTATTAATTTATTATGTATTTTCTTATTAATATTGTATGTATTAACAACAGGATAAGACACACTTTCTCATTAAAAAGTGCTTGTATCAGAATTTAGAGAATTTCCAATTGAAAACATGAAAACATTTTTGGTTGTTTTTATGAAATAAATACCAGAAAACGTCATCAGTGCACCTCGAGTCAAGACACTGCAGTAAGAGAGAAAGTCTAATAACTTTTTTAACATTTCCTCCAAACATTTCAAGGTGATTCGGCAGTGGTGGTACTTTAGATTTACTTTAACTTAATACTATGCTCGTTTAAATGTTGAGGTAAGTCAGGGGTGTCAAACTCAAGGCCCGGGGGCCAAATCCGGCCCGTGACTTCATTTCATGTGGCCCCAGAAGAGCTTGCAAAGAATAATACGTTTATTATACGGTTACATGCCGATTTACAAAAGCATATTGCCCGTAAACTACATGTCCCACAATGCATCTGAAATTTGACTTTTTTCTTCTAAATATGCCTTTTTTCTTAGAATTGTTTTTGTAAATGTTATTTTTTTTTTTCAAATGTTACTTTTTTTCTCCAAATGTAACCTATTTTTAAATTCTTTTTTTTTAAAAATCACTTTTTTTTCTTCAAAATTTCACCTTTTTTTCCGGAATTTGGCTTTTCTTTTAAAATCATTTTGTGACATTCTCACTGAAGAGACTTGCAATTATTTTCCCTAGACTTCTGCTTTCAGACGTAGTTCATTATGAAGTTATTACCCTATCCGATAATAATCCAATGCGAAGGAAAATAATGTAATAATACATTATTTTATATATATGATATATTTATGTATTTTTATATAGTCTTGAAGTTACAACCGGCCCTTTGAGTGCAGCCATAATGCTGATGTGGCCCGCGATGAAATTGAGTTTGACTCCCCTGATGTAAATGAAGGATCTCAGTACTTTTCCACCACTGCTTGACACCTTGAAACATTTCTGTTGACATTGACGTTTTATTTAAAAAAATAAAAGCAATAATAAGCTGGTGATCGAGACGAGTTAGTTTGGAGTTTTAGTGGAAACACATGAAGAACAAGCACAAGAGACAACATGCAGATTAATGACGTTAAAGAGAGTGTTAGAGGGAGGTTAAACAGGAATGAGAGGACAGAGACCGGCACCAGTGAGAACACCCACAACATCCCAGAGATAAAATCAGCCGAACAGGTGCTTTTTTAATTAATTTAAAGAGGTCTTAAAGCTCATTTAAAGCATGCGAGGCAAACGTGATCAAACTACCTAAAAACACAAAAAGGTAATTCAGTCCTTTGTCTTTATATTAGGGTTGTAATGGTTTACCAGGCTGTTAAAATGTAAGGTTATCGTACTGGGTTGTTTGTTTTTCTATGGTAATTTGCTGTATGTGCTACAAAATGCAAATTAACATGCTTTTTATAGCTGTATAACGTACTTTAGTTACATGCAGTATTATAACATGCTGTTCTCATTCAGGGGTTATATATATGTGTTGTGATGCGTTCAGGTGCGTAATGAGTTCTCAGGGGTTATGTATATGTGTTGTGATGCGTTCAGGTGCGTTAATTAAAAAAAATTACAATACAAATACATATAATAATAATAATAATAATAAGCTTAATCATAATAGTGTAATACCTATGCCAAGATCATTTCTCAGGGTGTTATTGTACAGTGAAAATCTCATACCGTTACAACCCATACTCTAAACAAACATGAATGATTAGTAACAACATCCAATCATAAGAAGTAAACAACAACAGATCAGACATCAAACTGATTTTCACACAGAGAGAGACCCAGCTCCCATGCAGAAAGAGTTAGAGGTGTTACAGGAGGATGACTAAACCACTGTGGGCGTCGCATATAACTATAAATACATTTAGAAATTCAAAAAAAAATAACTCAAGCACACACAATGTGAGAAACTGAAAACACTGAGCATTATATCATATTATTATATTCGTTTAGACGTCTTGTTGTAAAGGTAATATATTATTTAATTCCTCAAATTAGAGTAGGTAGAGTTAATAAATAGGGAAACAAATGAATGCTGTCTTCACATCAATTGAAATCATAACAATTAAAACAAGTTAAAATATATCTGTTTTTTAATTACTCTTATGTATGCACCACGACATCAAGTCAAATTCCTCCTACGTGTAAACCTACCTGATGTTTCTGATATCTATTATATATGCATTTGGGAAAACACTACACTATATCCATTATACTTTATATATATATTGAGGAGGGGACACTGACCCTTCGTATTCGTGGCGGCTGTGCATCACCCTCATGACGACGCAGGCGGCCACAGCGATGAGGACGAGCAGAAACAACGCTCCACAAACTGCTCCCACTATAACCGCCATGTTGTTCTGAGGGAGAGACTCTGGACGAAACAAGAACACACATGGTAGGTTAAAAAAGACAAACATTTCCAAATACATTTAAAACATGTCAACGCTATGTTTATTTTGGGGTATTAAAGGAAACTTTTTGTCTTTCTTCAGCACCTTTTTAAAATGACCTAACCCACATGCATGGTACATTTCCTTTGTAGTTCCTTTAATTTGGTAATTAAAAAAAAAATCAAAACTGTCAGAAACCCAAAATGCAAGATACATGCCTCAAATATTAAAACATTTATAGAGTATGTTTGACTATTTATTTACACGCTTATTTCATAAAACAAAGTAAGATATCAAACTAACACAAAGCAGTTTGAAATGGTTTTAATGTTTTCAATTACTAACCTTCATTTATACCGATTTTGTACTGATTTTAAAAGATGAAGTACTTTGATTACTTTATTTATTCTATAAATGTTTACATTTTCTGTAAAATAGATATAGAATAGATATAGATATAGAAAAGAATAGAATATAATTGGGAGGGATGAAACCCTCTTTAATGGTCACATGCAGAGCACACAGTGACATGAGCTCTCTGTTACTTACAGGAAGTCTAACAGATTATCTTATTTGTGAGAAAATGTGTTTGTTTGTCCGAAGTTGTGAATTGTTTTTTTAAAATGACAATCCGTAATCTGTTCAGCTTAGTGGCTGCTGTCAAGATTCTCATTCAGAGGTTTAGAGTTTATGAATTATTAATCTGGTCAACTTATCCAGGCACTTAACCGCTCAACCACTTATGTGAAGAAAGACGTTTTTTTCTAATTTTCTGCATCCTTACTTTGCAAAATTTAACAGAATTAGATCTGGATTTGTTCTTTCAAATCGCACAGAGCCTCTGTAAGTTGGTCTTTGGTGAATAAGGAGTTATCCAATGGTGATCATTTCAACGTCAAACAGAGCAGAATCAAGATCAGGGTTTGTTAGAACTCGGTAACAGAGGCCCTCGTTACTCTCGGTGTAAATGTTAAAGCGATGCGGGAAAACATATTTCTGTTCTCGTCAAAAACTGTGATATTACCTCGCTCATGAAATGGCTGCTCCCACACTCCGAGGCTCCGACACACGCTTGTTTCCGGAGCCACCCGACGTCCATGTTGTTGTCCCTGCTTTCGTCTTGACTCGATATCTCCTATATCTAAGCACCGACGAACCGAATATGGAACGGGGATCAAACCCTCGCTGTCATCGGTCTCACAATGCAGCACACAGTGACATCGCTGTTCTCCCTGCTTTTCCTCTCGCCGGCCGGCCCGTCTAGCCTCAGGAGCAGTGAGCAGCTATTGGTACACGCCCGGGGGAGCATGGGACTCTGAGGGGTGGAGGGGGCGCATACTGTCAAACCTCCCGAGTTTTCACAGAGACTCGATTTCATTGCCTCTCCCGGTTTCCTCCCGGGTCATATTATCTCCCGCATTTCTCGTCTCCATTTCTGACCAAATCAGATTGACACCGACTGGTCTTCACTCGGACTTTAATACAGCTACCCATTGGGTTTGGTTCCCATGGTAACACGTCTCTTAGTACGCGCAACTCAAAGTCTGAGAGGATGAGCACGATAGTCACAGAAAGAACAGAACAGATTGACAAGCTACTCTACTCTCTGCTCCCTCCTTTCCCTAGTTAAAATACAGGTCCAGCAACAGCTATGCTCCATCAAGGACGGTGCTGACAGGCCCCAAGCAGTGCACACTTACAACTAACCATAAGCATTTAATCCTACAGGTGCCGGCGATCCACCTTGCAGTATTGGGTGATTTGTATGGTTCAATAAGTGTATTTTTGCAAAATGTTGAGACACGTTGCACTGTATGTACTCTTAGGCAGGGTAGAGTTTGGCATAGGGGCGGTCCGCCTGGCCGCCAGATCTGGGGGCGCTGCGCTGGTAGCTCTGGGAGGCGAAAAAACATTTGACCCGTTGTGGCGCTCATGACCAAGTGTTCGGCCTTGATGTAACAACATTCATAATTAAGTAATGTAACACCTTATCTCTCACCCGGTTACACATCGTTTCATTTGCCCTGTAGGATGGGCGCTGCACAGTGATAACAGTGGAGCGGATAACGTTGCTTATCAAGATGCCGCAGCTCAGCCAAAGTGCGAGCGCTGGGAAGAGAGGAGCCGAGCGAAGGGAGAAGAAGAAGGCGCGATATACGCGGACGCTGGTTGTTATTCAGAATTGTGCTAGCTGCGCTAACGGATTATAAGAGTAGATGTCTACAACCAGGGTGAGGAGAGCTCTCCTGTAACGACTGAGAGCTCAGCTGAGGTAAAGGACTGAGCTGTTTAGATAGTTAATTTTACGTCTAAGTTATCGTCAGTGGGTCTCAAACACGTTTTGACCCAAATTATTTAAACACCATATTTCCACAGGGCACTCTTTATAATTATCGTCAGGTTACGATAAAAACAGTTTGAAATCTATTCCATGATACATAGGACAGCAAACCAAACTATCGTTTAACAGTTGGAGAGATACAAAAATATGGCATAACATACAATAAAATGTTAATCTAGGTACTAAATAAGACTATGAATTTGACAATCAAAAATAAAATAAGCTACATTTATTGACTTTATTGGCCTATGGTGAAGGGTTATTGGTTAGTGTCTCACATACTTATGTCATAGATAAAATTCTAAACCGATCTTTTTCATATCGGTGTTATTAGAGTCTGTACCCTCCTAGAATCAGAGTTCTAGTATTGTGTGCTCAAAGTGCAACAGATTGCAATGCATTTTACTTTAAAAATGTTCAAGCAACAATTTACCCTCCGGACCTGCCCTAGAGCAAGTGACGTCCGTCCCCCCATCAACAATGTTCATGACAATACTAATACATTTTGTAGCCTCTTTTGACATCTATTATTACTATGTCATAAGGTTTCTGTTTTTGTAGTGTATTTCGTTTTGTAGGACGATTTTCATTTATTCCTTACCATATAAACATTCGCCTAGGGCGCAAATAGTCAGACGCGGCCTGTTACCTAGGCCTCCAGGCCTTCGTTGTGCAGCCCACCAACAAATTGGCGCGGCGCATTCGCACGTCACACACTAAAAAGACTTCACGCGCTCGCACGCTCACATTATGCGGCCACGTGCCTTAGGCACCCGCTTCTTGACTCCCATCCTAGGGGAAACCTGCCCTTCTGACTGAGCCACTGCCGGCTATCTTATGTATGCAGACTATGTATTTCCTTTTTTCTTTTTGTATTATTGTAGGAAGTGCTGTTTGTATTTAACAACTTTATAACTGTTTTACGTTGTTGGTTTTTACTCATGATTGCAAAGCGATGTGTGTGGCATCACGTACTAAGTGGCTACTTCAAGTACAGATACATCAACATAATGGAAGATGTGTTTTTGAAAAACCGGCCCCAGACCACATAACAGACAGCGTGAGAAAACCCCCTCTTTAACTGGTTTTCCGAGCTTGTCCTCTACATGAATGACTGAACACGGTCGTGGTTCTGTTCATAAAACCAGCGCAAGTAAAAGAACGCATGCAGCAGCAACATAC